GCAATGTCAAGTTATTTTTTTCTGAGGGCTTATGAGAATATGTTCCATACCTCTCCTAATGTATAGTTGCCTCAGGAGTTCCTTGGTTTTTAGAAGGTGTCTTCCTTGTGTCTTCATCATCTTCCCTGTATGCATGTCTGTCTCTCTGCTTCCAAATTTTTCCTTTTTATAAGGACACATTTATTTTGGATTAGGAACCAACCCTAATTGATTTCATCTTGATTATTTCAAAGACCCTATTTCCAAATGAGGTCTCATTTACAGATATTGTGGGGCATACTTTTGGGTGAGCACGGTTCAGCTCAATAGTTACATAAAAAGGCTTAGCACCAGTATATTTCTTCCAGCTGGACATATAGAGATATTAGGAAGAACCATTCTGAAATATGCGTATCCTGCCAGTCTAAGCTCAGATGACATTTCTTCACTTGAGTCTTCCCTGATATCTTCAAGTGTCTTGGGATCAGGAATTCATCATTGTGTCTCTTATTGAGCTTTCTATTGTGGTTGTTTAGTGAGTTTGTATGTAGTTGAATTATGGGTTTAACAGTTTGGTGTATTTGGGTGTCTTTCTTTCCAAGGTGAAGTATTTAAGCTCTTCTGAAGACAAGAGTCATATTTAAAAAGAGTATCTTTTCCTTATTCTTATTTTCTTTACTTCATAATTGGAGGCCTCGCTTTGGTCTGGAATTCTTGCCTGTGTCTAATTTTTTATGTGTTAAAGTCCATTGGATTTGGTTATTGTTGTCCATTAATAATAGTATTAACAATATGTATTTGTATAGACATTATTTTCCAATGGGTTTGCATATAGTGTAGTATTTGGTCAACATGGTAAATCAGTCAAGACAATCTGGAGAGGGTACCTGCCTGGCTCAGTCAGTAGAGCATGGGACTCTTGATCTTGGGGTTGTTTGAGCCCCATGTTGGGTGTAGAGATTACATTTAAAAATCTTAAAAAAACAACAACATGGAGATAATAAATGTTTCACGTTTGTGAAAATCTTTATCCATGATACCATTAATTTAATGAAACTATTTTTTTATTCATGTTTCTCATTGACGTTATATATATATGTATTATTTTTTGTTTGTTTTTTGTTTTGTTTTTTAAAGATTTTATTTGTCAAGAGAAAGCATGAGAGTACAAGGGGGAGCGGCAGGCAGAGGGAGAAGCAGGCTACCCACTGAGCAAGGAGCCTGATGCAGGACTTGATCCCAGGACCCCGGGATCATGACCTGAGCCGAAGGCATATGCTTAACTGACTGAGCCACCCAGGCGTCCAATATATATATATATATATATATTTTTTTTTTTTTTTAATTTTTTTTATTTATTTGAGAGAGAGAGTGTGTGAACAGGGGGAGGGACAAGGGGAGAGGGAGAGACTCTCAAGCAAACTTCTTTCTGAGCATGGTGCCCACCTTGGGACTCAACTCGGGGCTCAATTCCACAGCCCTGAGGTCATGACCTGAGCCAGAATCAAGAGTTGGATGCTTAACTGAATGAGCCACCCAGGCGTGTCCCGACTTTATCTTTTTAAATCATTTCAGTTTGAGCATGATTTCTAAATGGTTGGTATATTGTATGTGTGGGTGTGTATTACATTTTCAGTATTCCATAATTTCATCTGCACTTTGCATATTTCCTTGAGTTGTCAGCATAATTCATTTAACAGGTCTCTTGTTGGATGTTAAGTTTTTGTTGTCATAAGTAACTGCTTGAAATATTTTTCTGTAATTCTGCTTGGTTGGATTATTTTCTTCGGGTTACAATATTAGGAATAGAATTATTGTTTTCATTTTGATGGTTCATAGTAGAGAGCAGATGTTCCTTTCCTGATTCTGTGGCTTAGGAAACTGAGGCTGCATTAAGTGACTCATTTAAGATGATGTAATTTGTGTTGGAGTTAGAAGACAGAACTCATTGATGCTTTGTCTGGTTGTGTGATTCAGTTTCTGGCTTTACCTGATAATACTCATGTTCCTTCCTTGCTGTCTACTGAAAGTATGTTTTTTAAAAAAATTATTGAGGGGCGCCTGGGTGGCTCAGTCGTTAAGGGTCTGCCTTCGGCTCAGGTCATGATTCCAGGTTCTGGGATCGAGCCCCGCATCGGGCTCCCTGCTCGGCGGGAAGCCTGCTTCTCCCTCTCCCACTCCCACTGCTGGTATTCCCTCTCTCGCTGTGTCTCTCTCTGTCAAATAAATAAATAAAAGTTTTTTAAAAAAATTATTGAAATATAGTTGACTTTGAAGGCATATGTTTTATGGCTATACTTTCTGATAATATAATCATTTTGTTGGAGTAATATGAGGGGAAGAGTGAACCAGTATCATGTCATAGATTATGACTTAATTTGTCATAAAGAATTTAACAATCATGGGGTTTTTGTTTTAAATATTTCATTCATTTATTTGACAGAGAGAGACATAGCGAGAGAGAGGGAACACAAGAGGGGAGTGGGAGAGGGAGAGGCAGGCTCCCCGCTGAGCAGTGAGCCCAATGTGGGGCTTGATCCCAGGACCCCGGGATCATGACCTGAGCTGAAGGCAGATGCTCAACGACTGAGCCACCCAGGTGCCTCCAGTCATGGGGTTTTATTATTACTGGATTAGTCAGTGGTTGAGAGTTTGCCCAGGTTTGAATTAAGGCTCTGCCAACTTATTAAATACCATATGACCTTAGACACACAGTAAAATAAATAGTAATACAGTATCTACCTTAAGAGGATTAAAAAAGGAACAGCATCTAGCACATAGCAAACATCAAGTAAATGTTAGTTAATATGTTTAGAGTAATTTAGGACTTGAATAAATAAGCCAATACCAGTGATTGCCAAATAAATTAAATGATCATAAATTGTGTCAGAAATTTATGGGAACCTACTCAAATTGTAGTTTTCAGTACAGGCAAATAAAAAAATTCTTTTCAGGCATCTGGGTGGCCCAGTTGGTTAAGTGTCTGCCTTTGGCTCATGATCCCAGAGTTCCTGGGACGAGTCCCGCATCAGGCTACTTGCTCAGTGGGGAGTCTGCTTCTCCTTCTGCCTGCAGCTCCCCTTGCTTGTGCTCTCTCTCTCTGACAAATAAAAATCTTAAAAAAAAAAAAAATTGTTTTCCCATCCTGTCTTTGTATCTTGGTTTTAAAGTTTCAAAGCCAGCTAATTAGTTTTGAAGTCCTGTTTTTTTCCTGATGACTTACAAACTGGTAACAGGCAAAAATAGTCTTTTTTTTTTTTTCTTTAAAAGAATAAAATGTAGGGTGCCTGGGTGGCTCAGATGGTTAAATGTCTGCCTTCAGCCCAGGTCATGATCCTGGGGTCCTGGGATCGAGTCCCACATTGGGCTCCCTGCTCGGCGGGGAGCCTGCTTCTCCCTCTGCCTGCCGTTCCCCCTGCTTGTACTCTCTCTCTCTCTCTCTAATAAAAAATAAAAAATCTTAAAGAGAAAATGTAGTTTGTCTCATTTCCTAGTAACTCTATACTTACAGAACTAATCACAATATTTTCAATGTGATTCATAGGCATTCGATAAAATTTAATTTCTATCTGAAAACAGTCTTAAAGTTGAATGGGTAACTTATAAATCATTGAATTGAGCCCAGTCCTTTGATATCCCTGCAGTGGGGCAATATTCATCATTCATTTGAATGATTTCAGTCAGTTCATCTAGCATATACTTTATTGAATGCTTAATCCGTTTTAGTATTAACAAGGGAAGATTGAGTCTGACGGAGGATCACCAAGCCTTTTTCAATACATAGCGCTTAGAGAAAACCATAGTTATTTGTATGTCTCCTTCAAGTAAATGGAAGAGGTTGATCTTTGTTTAAGTACCCTGGGTGCTTCTTTTGGCTACTACCCAGGAACATCTCAGTACACTTGCAACTCCTTTGTGTGGTGCATACCATGTGGGAAGCTCAGTCCTACTAAATACAGAGCTGTGTTCATTTTAAGGCAGGAGGTCTGCTTATGGTGTGTTAAAGGCATGGCCATGGATTTAGAGTGGAGATGGAGGATGTTGTATTGCAGATCAATTAGGGATATTGGTTTTGGGGAAAAGATGCAGCCAAAGTGTCTGCATTAGACAATTCCAAGGAGCTTGATTCGTATTGAACTTATTCTGCATGAATGGTGTTTCTTGGAGTTGTGCGGTATACTGTTCTGTAGGTCCTGGAAAAAGTCCAAGTCAGTTGCGTTGATATTACTAGGGTCTAGCCTGTAGCTTTCAGGATTATTTCATTAGAGCTATTACTGTTAATTAATAGGAATGTCTGTGTTTGAGAAGGATGTAGAATATCACCTATAGAAGAGACCACAGTCTCCCTACACCCCCACCCCCCATTTTATTGAGATATAATTGACACATTGTATTGGGAACATAGACTCTTTTTTTTTTTTAAAGATTTTATTTATTTATTTGACAGAGAGACAGTGAGAGAGGGAACACAAGCAGACAGAGTGAAAGAGGGAGAAGCAGGCTTCCCGCCGAGCAGGGAGCCCGATGCGGGGCTCGATCCCAGGAAGCTGGGATCATGACCTGAGCCGAAAGCAGACGCCCAAGGACTGAGCCACCCAGGCGCCCTGGGAACGTAGACTCTTGACATTGTTCATAAATTCTTTTTATAATCCACCCCCTCCCCCTGCCGCCATGTTGTGTTGTAATCTAAGGACTAGGGCAAAGATATCTTTTCCTAGGGATGATTGTTTCTTTTTTCAGTTTTTAGCTATTTTATTAATGAAAATAATTTATTTTCTCCATGAACGTAGGTAGATTGCTTATATAAAACAAATATAAATATAGAGCTACTACTTTATAAAGGGCTGTATTATAAACATTAAGACAATGATTCAGTTGTACTTGCTTTGTACTTGTTAAGTGGAATGTTTTTATATAGATTTCTGTAGAATTCTGCTTTCTCAGAAGGCTAATAAAAAAATGGTACACTGTTTCAAAAGGTTTTGATTCTTATTGATGCCCCATGTTTTGTCTGTCTAAAGTGTCAACCCAAGAAAAAGTCCACGCCACTGAAGTATGAAGTTGGAGATCTCATCTGGGCAAAATTCAAGAGACGCCCATGGTGGCCCTGCAGGATTTGTTCTGATCCGTTGATTAACACACATTCAAAAATGAAAGGTAATACTAGTAGTTGATTATACATGGTAAATAACTTGTAGTTGCCTTTAGTGTAGCCTAATTTTTGTTGCCTTAAGTAGTAATACATTTTTACCTTTGAGCATTTGGTGAATAAATTGTTATTAATGTATTTTTACCATTTTGAATTTTTTTAGTTTTATTTTATGATTTATGATTTTATTTTATGATTGTCACTCTATTTATAGATGCCAGGAAAATGTTAGCTTTATTACCTAAAATTTACATTGTCTAGAATCACTTTTCAGTATATTTAGGTTTTTCTACCTCAGTTTTCAGGTTTGTATCATTGCTCTTAAGTTTTAAAGCTGAAATAATTATAAAGAATCCTTTGAATTTTGAACTGTAAAATCTTGATTTAGTGCATTCCCTTTAATAACTGTAGTATGTTTCTTACTTGGTTCTGTTTGAATCTCAGGTATCCTTAAAATGCTGTAAGCTAGGGACTAAAACTTGATCTTTTTTTTTTTAAGATTTTATTTATTTATCTGAGAGAGAGAATGAGAGAGAGAGAGAGCATGAGAGGGGGGAGGGTCAGAGGGAGAAGCAGACTTCCCCGCTGAGCAGGGAGCCCGATGTGGGACTCAATCCCGGGACTCCAAGATCATGACCTGAGCCAAAGGCAGTTGCTTAACCAACTGAGCCACCCAGGCGCCCTAAAACTTGATCTTGAGCTGCCTTTTTTCTATTAAGATGTTTTGTGATTTAATATGTGTATTTTAGTTTTTGACTAGGTCATATATTCATAATATTCTAAAAATCAACTCCCTCCTTTTCTCTGACATGCCCCATTCTTTACCCTTCTTTTCAAAGAGTAAGCAGTTGTTTTTAATGTTTGTTTCTAAAGTATTTTTGTGTACATCCAAGTATATATTCTCATCTTTTTATTTTAACACAAAAGTAGCATATTTTTTGGATGTTCTACATTTGAGAGGTTTTTCCATGTTAGTGCATTGAAGACTTTCTCTCTCTTTTTTATTACAGCGGCATAGTTTTCCACTTTTTGATTATGTTATATATAACCATTTTCCTGTTGATGGATATTTAGGTTGTTTTTGATTTTGTGTTGTGAAGTCTCTATATACATATTTATATACATATGTATATAACATAAATATGTTTCTGTGTACACAACAGTGATGTAAAGAATAACTTTCACATATACATGTATCAAAAGTGGGATTGCTAGATTTGATTTCATATTTCAAATATTGAATATTGAGGTACCTGTCTGCCCTGTTTCTCATGAGTCAAGAATGTGATCACACCAAAGAGCAAGTGCCATTGCTGACTGGAAAATACCATGTTTTGTTTTCAGGCTATAAAAAGGTTAAAACTCTTCTTCCCAGAAAGGGTGAATTTATATAGCTTCCTACTGAAGAAATGACAAAATATGGTAAAATGGATCTATTTAACCTTACAGCTAGTTATTTCATAATACCTTTTCCATTTTCTTTTTAGCATTTTTCACTTTTGTTTTCATTTCCCTATAGTTTATGGCAAGCTATAGTCAGCCAAGTTCTGGAAAGCCTAATAGTAGTTAACTCTCCATTTTTCTTTGAATGTGCTCCTTTTCCTCCTTATCTCCTTCATAGCACATAACCTGGTGGAATTACTGGTCTTGCAATTACTGGTCTTGCCATTGACACGTGCCAATAGTAGGAATTTTCATATAGACTGCTGTCAAAGTAATCCTGCTCCCCATCACGCTGAAACTATGACCAGTATTAATGTTTGACTCTTTCTGTGGCATTGTAATTTTCCCCTCCAGCTTTTTATTTTGAAAGTTTCAAACCTATAGACAAATTGAAGAGTAACACAATGAACACCCATATGTACTTTACGTAGGCCCAGCAATTACTACTTTGTACTAATTATTAGTTGATATCAGTGAAAAATTAAAAATTACAGTGCAGTGTTCATATCATTGTGATTATCCATGTTTGTTTTCTTAGCAAAGCCAAATATTTCAAATGGTGTTAGAAAACCCAAGTTTTTATAAAATCACTTTTTAAAGTCATTATTTACTTCTATTATACACGGTGCATATAATTTAAAAAAGTCAACTGGTTAATGCTACAGGCTTTGCTTGGAAAACAGTCTGCTGTGGCTATATCCCTCTTTCTCAGAACCTTTAACTCTGTCAGCTGCATCTTTTGATATTTACCTCTGTATCTCAAAATTCCATCCTTCTAAATTACTTTTTACTTTTCACTATAGAAGTTGTGGATTAGTCATTTCATTCCTTGCGTTGGGCCTAACCTCCCACCTACCTCCGACATCCTGCTAGCTTACCTGTTATAATTTTGGTTAGGAATTCAGTGTGTATGTTATCATGTTAACAGTGTACACAACTTAGCCATGTGGTATCTAGTACTTTCTATGCCCTCAGAACCTTTTGATTTTTCTGCAGTTATCTGTGTGTGTGTGTTGGTGAAGGAGAGGGTTCTTAGTATTTTATGATTCATAGTAAAACTCTCTCAGTTTTAATTTTTTCCACATGATCTGATAGGTTGGTAATTTGTCATTTTCTGTTTTGTTTTTGTTTTTGTTTTAAGAGTGGGAGAGGGCGGGTAGAGTGGCAGAGGGAGAGAGAGAATCTTAAGCAGCCTCCATGCCCAGTTTGGAGACTGATGCAGGACTCAGATCTCACAGCCCTGAGGTCATGACCTGAGTTGAAATCAAGAATGGGACGTTTAACTGACCGAGCCACCCAGGTGCTCCGGTAATTTGTCATTTTCATCATCTTGAGGAAATCTCACCTGGAGCCTTGTGCTGTTGACCCTTGAACAACATAGGTTTGAATTGTGCGGTCCTTATATAATCTATACACAGATTTTTTTCAGTAAATATACTACAGTATTGTAAATGTATTATCTCTCCTTATGATTTTCTTTTTTTTTTTTTATTTATTTTTTTTGACAGAGACAGCGAGAGAGGGAACACAAGCAGGGGGAATGGGAGAGGAAGAAGCAGGCTTCCCACGGAGCAGGGGAGCCTGATGCGGGGCTCAATCCCAGGACCCTGGGATCATGACCTGAGCTGAAGGCAGATGCTTAATGACTGAGCCACGCAGGCGCTCCTCTCCTTACTTTTTTCTTAATAACAATAATAATGTGTTTTCCTTATGATTTTCTTAGTAACATTTTCTTTTGGGCACCTGGGTGGCTCAGATGGTTAAGCATCTGCCTTTGACTCAGGTCATGATCTCTAGGTCCTGGGATTGAGCCCCGCATCAGGCTCCCTGCTCAGCAGGGGGTCTGCTTCTCCCTCCCCCTTTGTCTCTCCCCCTTCTTGTGCTCTCTGTCAAATGAATAAATAAAATCTTTAAAAACAAGTCCATCATCACAAAAATACCACTATAAAAAAATAACATTTTCTTTTCTCTAGCTTACTTTATTTTAAAGATACAGTATATAATACACAAAACATACAAAATATGTGTTAATAGACTGTTTATGTTATTGGTAAGGCTTCTGGTCAGCAATAAGCTATTAGTAGTTAAATTTTTGGGAACTCAAAAGTTATATGCAGATTTCAACTGCACAGAGTTGGGACCCTTAACCAACCCTCTGCCCCCTGCTGCCACTGGATTGTTCAAGGGTCAACTGTATATTCTTTCAATTTATACTAGTCACATTCTCTGTCTGAATAGCTGTTATCTTGGGGATTCCCTTCAGCTTTCTCTCTTTTTAAGATTTTATTTATTTATTTGACAAAGAGAGCACAAGTAGGCAGAGCGGCAGGCAGAGGGAGAGGGAGAAGCAGGCTTTCCACTCAGCAGGGAGCCCTGCGTGGGGCTTGATCCCAGGGCCCTGGGATCATGACCTGAGCCGAAGGCAGATGCTTAAGCAACTGAGCACCCAGGCACCCCCCCTTCAGGTTTCTCTTGATAAATTCTGTCTTCCTTGATTTTGGTTTACCCACTCATTTTGAATATATAGCAAGTCCTTCAATAGTTTCGTGAGAAAGGGCATATGGAACCAAATTTTTTGAGACCTTGCATTATCTGAATACATTTTTATTCTCTTCGTACACTTGTTTGATAGTTTGGCTGGTATAAAACACTAGCCTGGAAATCATTTTTGCTCAATTTTAAAGGCATTGCTCCATCTTCTACTTCCAGAGTTGCTGTTAAATCAAATTATTTTGATTCTGGTATTTTTTCTGTGGCTTTTGTCCCTCTCTGATAGCTCGCAGACTCTTCTGTTTGTTCCTGTAGTTCACAAGACTATACCTTGCTGTGAGTCATCCATTGTGGTAGGTACTTGGTGGACCCTTTTGATATGCAAATTTAGTTTATTTCTAGGGCATTTTCTTGAATTATTTCATTGATTATTTTCTTCCCTTTGTTTATTCTTTCCTGTAACTCTTACTCAGATACTGACTTTCCTGCACTGGACATCATAATTTTTTCTTTTTTGGGGGGGGGTACAGTTTTGTTTTGCTACTTGATAGTGAGTTCCTCAACTTCTGTCTTCAAACCCTTTTTTGAGTTTTACATTTCTGCTCTTATGTTCTTAATTTTTAAGAATTCCTTCTTTGTTCCTTTCATCTTATTTCATGAGTGCAATATCTTTTTCTTTTCTGAAGCTATTAATGATAGTTTCTGTGAAATTTTCTTCTGTACATAGTATGTTTCAAGTTCTTTTTTTTTTTTTTTTTTCCTCCTTTACTCTTTGTACCTTCTCTATTTTTTATGTTTGAGGCTTTCCTCAGATCTCTGTTGTGGATGAAAGAGCATATGGATACTTCTGAATGTGTGGAGCTTGTTAACCTTTAATTTTCTTGTAGGGTGATTCCTTTCCCCCTCCCAATCCCTTGTCAGTAATATCTTCTCCATTTCTTTCTTGGCTTGGTAAGATTCCTCAGAGAAGAGTCTAGTCTTTTACCCAAAAAATAAGAATCTGGCTTCTCATATTCTGGGTGCTCAGTCAGGGAACTCAACTAGGTAGTTGTAGCATTCAGTGCATTCACTCATT